GGTTTCATGAACCAGGCCAGTCAGCTGCCCGTCGGAGTCGTCAACGTACCTGCGCCGTATCCCCAGGATCCTCATCAGCAAAATCCGGCGGCGGTCTACACGACGTATCACGGTTACATCAACGGAGGCCTTATGCAGCCCCTCAACAGTTCGATGAGGCCGCGTTAGTCCCCCGATGGGCTACACGCACATTCTCTTATCCGCATAATATCTCTGTCTCTGCCTTCGCGGTTGGCCGATTTAACGATCGATACGTCGGCTAACTCGATGCTCTCTCTCGCGAGTAAAGTACAACGGGAGCTTGGCGGGACCGTCGTGTATCTTTTTTACTTACTCACGAAGTTTATCTTTCGAGCACTTTTCCTTCTTTGTTTCTCTGCTTTTCTTTCGTGCTCTCTATCCGTCTTTCCTTTCTTTCGGGCGTTTTAATCTCCTTTCAGAAATATGCGTTATCTTTTATCCGCGATACTCTTCTGTCGAAGAGTTGAACCGATTTTTAACTCGTCTGTGTGGGTGAATACGGATAGAATGAGAGTTGTGTACGCGAATGAATCGAATGTACGAGTGTAGTATGTCTGAATAATCCGCAAAGTATGGGTTCGTAAGTTGTGCATTTAAAGTGATTAACGATACGCCTTGAAGGTCGATTTATCGATCGATCGGTGTAAATATCGATCGAAACGAAAACCTATTTTTAGTAGGGCATTCCCTCTCGAAATTGCGACGGTGTTACGTTTTGTGTATAATAGGATACGTATTATACATATATATCTTGGTACACGCACGCATGTATACATACGTGTATACACATATATTTACACGTATGTATATACGTGCGTGTCACTCACGAATACTTGCAAATAATATTCTGTTTGATATTATCGATTGTTGAACGTTGTTGTTTAATTTTTCTTCGAGGCACACTGTACTTTATTGTATCATAAAATACTGGTACCGCTCTGATACTTCTAATTGTATTATTGCAAATTAATTATACGATCGCTGTTGGGATCGTTGTCGAACGCGTTCGTTGTCATCGACCGGTAAATCAGTATCGACGACGCGTTTCTCGTTTCCATCTCTCTACGCGATATCGTTTTATCACCCTTGTCATCGCGTCGTTATCATCGCCATTATCGTTTCTTTTATTATTGTTATAATTATTACCTCTATGATTATCACATAATTATAATTATTATTATTAATATTATTATCATCGTCGCCGTCACTATTATCATTTTTATCTCCGTAATCGCGTCATCGTCGTCGCCGTCATCGTCATCGTCATCCTTCGTAGAATTATACTTTACTGTCAGTCCCTGGATCCGTCACGACGCACCGAGCGTATAACGATATAAAAACAATACGCGGATAAGGAAACCGAAACGCATTCGTTCGTTACTATGTATTATACGTATGTACGTAACGTTTCATCGTCTACGCATTATATATATAGTATATATATTATGGAACGAGGTACTAGGGCCACGTACTAGTTTCGAGAACGATTACGGCTGCGTAAAATAGCTCCACGGAGCGTCGTAAAAAAAAATTGATGGTAAAATTATTTTTTGTATTGAATCGTGAGAGAAAGCGAGAACCTGATCCCCGGTTTAGCCTGTTCGCGGGAACTTTTAAATGGTGCTCGTTCGTGTACTTTGAATCGTAATTAGTAATTTCCCTCCCTTGTGACGCTTCGAGGAACGATCGCGGACAAATAATATATTTATAGTACGTTACGAATTTAATTTTTTCAGACGAGACTATAAGAGAGCGAGGGGCAAGTATTTGCCTAATTTTTAGCGTAACTATTATACGATAAGAAAAAGTTATGAATAGTGTAAAAAATACATCAATATTTATTGTACATAGATCTAAAAAAAGACTACTAACAAATAAAAAGGAATGAAAAATACGAGCTTGGATACAATTTAATCACTTCGAACTTCTTCGTTTAGTCTCTCTTCTTCTAAAAATCGGTCAACGATTAAATTAATTATCATCAAAACTTTATCGTTCCTTTACCTATGCTTTCGCTTTCTAGTTCTTTCCTCGCGCCGTTTCCTCTCAGCGTTCGCCAAATCGATGTACTTTTTCCTCTGCTCGGGAGTCATCCGAGTCCACAATTTACCCGCCGCTCGCGCGATCACGGTTACGTGCTCCTTCGGCTTCTTGCCGCGTAATCGCAAGAAAAAGATGATGAAGGGATTAGTGGTTCGATACTTCAGCAACTCTTTTCTGATGCGCGCCTCCGTACCGTTCACGACTTTCCTGCTCTTCCCGGTACGATCATCTACGCTACCCAAAATTAAAAAGTGCAAACCACGTTGTTTACGTATTTTCAGCTTCGCGCACGCGACGACTCGGAAATTGCCTTACCCGTCGTTGGTTTCCTTCCTCCGCTCCTTCCGAGTTTTCGATGGCGCGGATCCGGCGTTTCCCATTCTTATTAAATTTAGTTACCACATTACTTGACAATTTTTCCTTAAACCCGAAATTGAAGCAAGTCGCCGAAAACCATCCTTCCGTTGTTTACGAGAGACAAAAGAAAAATTGCGCGGGAAAATTAGGTTGGACTTTTATTTTCTATTTCGAATATAAAATATAACGCAACATGAAATGTACATGGAAGAAATTTTTTACAAGTCTCCGCCTGCCTGGGCCGCTCTCTTCGGTTTCTTGTTCTTGTTCCATTTATCGCCGCAGTAGCAAGCTTCTTTCTGTGCATCCATGTAGCTTTTGCATCCCAAAGCCGTGGTGCCTGTAAACAGCATCTTCGCGGCGGTTTTGCAAGTGTTGATGATGGCGGACGACTGATAACCTTCGCAGTATTTGTACAGGCATCTCTTGAACTCCAAATCGCACTTCTCTTTGTCCGAATTGCAAGTGTCGTAGCAGATGTCATGCGAATCGCAGCATTTTGTCATTTCGGCCAGCGGTAAATACTCTTGGTTTATCTGAAATTATTGCTCGGTTACGCGACTCGTAAAATATTTACATTTTTGCGGAACGTACTTCGATTCCCAGCGAACCGCATCCGTTACTCTGCGGTTTGTGATTCCAATCCGGTTTCGGTGTGATTCCTGTAAAATTCGCGCCATACAGTCAAAGAGGGAGCTAGAAACCAATCGAGTTCGTACGCGTCAGTTTTCTATAAATACACGGTTACATATTTCAATAATAATTTTTCGCGTGATTGTCTCGTGAAAATTACATAACCCTTTACTGGTCTTTTTAACCAATCGCTTTTTAAATTCGCTTTGAATTTAACGTCCGAGATAATGAAACATCGCGCTTGAAAACTGTTGATTTATTGCCTGTCGAAACGGATATAAATACGAACGACGTAAATCACCCCCAGACTCGATGACTACGTGCTTTTTAAAGAACAGTCTAGAATCACGGAGAACGGACGGACTCGTAGACTACTTGCCTCCAGGACATTGAAAGATGCAGTTTTCTTCTACGGCTGCGTCGAACACCTCGTGTATGTCCTTGATTTTTCTAGCCACCGTAATCGCATTTTCGAACAAATCCTCGAACACCGACTCCGCCGCTAATACAGCGTCCTTTAAATTCGATAACAGGCCAGCTCCGTAACCCGACCAGGCGTACGCTAAGAAAGTCAGAACGTAGATCAAGGCTTTTCGATACCGCGAAAAATCCATTCTCAGGACGTTTGCGATGCACTGACACGCTGTTACACCTATCCGGGTATTTTTAGGTAAATAGTCGCATACGCGATCACGGCCACGTGGGAACAAACGACGGGATAATTTCTCGAGATACACTCTCGTTGTATATACGTACACGCATACGCGCGAGTGATGATAGTCCGATCGAAAGCGACGGTGTCTTTGACACTTGAATACCGGTGAATATTTTAACTCTACGTTTACGAGGAAAAGGTTACTTTCATATGAACAATTCTTTTATTCCGTTTGAGTCGGTTACATAAACAATTACGTATAATATTTGATATACAAATAACATAAAAAGAATTAAAGCTTCTTCTGCAGCTCGCCACTGTCGAACAATTTCTTCACGTCGGTACCACCTCCCAAGCACTCTCCTTTTACGAACACTCTGGGTACTGTTCTAGCGCCGGTCATGTCGCCCAATATGCTCTGAATATCGTCGCCGTCTTCTCTCTCGTCTAATTCGATGGCGGTGTACTTCTTTTGCAGGTTCTCGAACACCTGCAAATACCGGTGTTAGTATTATAGTTAATACTGAATTATTAAATTTGCGATCAACTTGCTCACCTGTTTGGCCATTTTACAGTACGGGCATGTCGTTTTGGAAAATATCACGACGGTGTCTGAAGCAATGAGTTGCTGCACTTGCTCTTTGGAGATAGGCATGGTTGCGTCTTGTGCGCTGGAAACTAAAAACCGGACTGTTAAGACATCGCTGAGACGATGATCCGATGACTCTTTATCGTGTTATCGCATTATCGTGGATATAGTAATCAATGCGTACCGCATTCCGCAAAATCAATGACTTTCAAACCACGTCACCTGTGTCACCGTATTCCTCCCAAACTGGCCGATCTTTAACAGCTACTTTTCTAGTATCGCCGATAAATACGGACATGATTGTAAACATTCCGCGACGGAATTTCTTTTTGCAAAAAGTATACATTTTTGACAACTGTTTTCAACTTTAAGTGAATTTTCTACTTCCAAAGTTATCGAGTAAACAAAACACTGTCATACGATATTCGAGGAAATCGATTCTCAAAGGAACGTTCGAATTTTGAGATTTGTGATTCGATTTCTTCTTTTCTTCTATGCATCTTGAATGTACAATTATCTTTTTACGATTTGATAGATTATTGTTTGTTCTTTTCGTTATTTCTTATCTAAAAGCTTACTTACTTAATCAATGTTCCTTAATACTTTTACACGTGTGGCGAAGTGCGATATCTCGATAACTGACTGCGTACGACAAACTGTAAACCGGAGAAAATTTTCCGTCTTAATCCAGCGTTTCCATGAAAAGGTCGGCAACGATGCCTTTATTCGTAAACGCATAGAAATTTCTTGGAGGCATATGAAATATATTTTTGAAACGTGATCGATATTTTTCAACATATGTATATATCCTAAATTGTATACATCCATTATTAAAATAAACCTATAATTTACGTTTAGTATAATTGCGTTATGGTATAAGCACAGTATAAGAAAGCATAGTAGGTTAACTCGATGTTGGCTTTGATCTCATGACTAAAAGACGCCATGTTGCTAGTTGTGCGCGGGCTCTAATTTGAAAGGCACAGTTTTCGCGGGCTCTAATTTGAAAGGTAAAAGCATTCGTTTTCTGTAACATGCCAGAAAACGAATTTTGCCTCGTTTCGTGAAAAGAAAGATACGTTGGAGAGACAAGGATCTATCTATCCTTGTCTAGAGCTTCCCAGTTCGCCACCAGAGGCCCCCATTTTAAATTTTTATAAAAATGAGTATTGTGATTGGTCCCTTCACAGACGCTAAAGGAAACCACCAATGAATTCAATGGAATATGCGCATGATTCTTATTTGTTTAGTTAGGTAGTTTGCCATAATTTCATTCAATGGGAAATTTAACCATCTTGCGCATTGCAGCTAACTTCAGTATTCTCCCTCTATCATTTAAGTGTTGCACGCTGCTAAACGAGTTCAACTGCATCAGCTATATATACGGTGAACAAAAATATAAGTATAGGAATCACAAATTGAAACGTAAGTAGCACATAAAATAAAAAAGACCCTGAGTATATATGTTTAACCACATGAACGCCACACTCATGCGCGTTGACTTAGGTATAAAATGTATTCAGCAAATCAGGGCCAACCTGCGCAGAATGAACAGAAACTCTTCGGATGATGTGTAATGTGTGCATGGGTTCCCGTTGAATAATTACACACATATAGTTTGTACGTGTATGATTTGTTCCCGCCAAATTACTGTACTAGGTGCCAACAAGTGGCGAAACAGACCGGTCGTGACAATCGGCAGTTGGAGATGGTTCTCAGACGTTTGTTTGTGCTCTAGTTGATATATTAATAAGATTGAATTTAAGCTCGTGAATTAGAGTGTTCAAGAAATAACGGAAGTTCCCCATTTTGTAGCTATTTTTGATTGAACAAACATCTCAAAATGTATGTTAAAGTAAGAACAATGGATGGTAAACAGGAGGCGATATTAACTATTTCTAAATTAACGGAGGTGGAAGATTTTAAGGTATTTAAAACGGTGTAGCACTATCTTTTTATTTAGAAATTAGAACAAAAAGTTATTAATAGGTTATATTCCCTAATAAATTGATAAGTATTACATATATTGTAAAGGTTTAATTATAATTTGTTACTTTAGAAAATAAATATTTACTGGTAAACTTGTACAAATTTATATAATTTTACAGGGTGAGATTGAAAAAGAATTACATGTAAAAAAAGATTTACAGAGATTATTTTTTCGAGGAAAACAACTAGAAGATGGTTATAAATTATATGATTACAATATTAATCTTAATGATGTAATTCAGTTAATGGTGAGAATACAGGTGGACAATACTGAAAGTATAGCTACATCCAGTAGTAGTGTTAGCAGTAATTCTGATTCTGAAAAAGAAGTTACAAATAATTCTATTGAAGATGAAAAATTGGATGAAGCTGAAAGTTTGTATTATAAGCCTGGAGATGCTATAGATTGTCTTGACCAAACTTATGGTGCTTGGTTTGAGGCTATAATATTAAAGATATTTAAAAAGGAAGATAAACTTATTTATAATGTTCGTTGGGAATTTGATGACAAAGCTCCACCTTTTAACATATCTGAGTCATCTATAAGACCACGTGCAAGAAGGCTGTTACAATTTGATACATTAAAAATGGGTGAAAAAGTAATGATTAATCACAATGTTGATGATCCCAAAGTAACTGGATTGTGGTATGACTTTACAGTATTAAAAACAGATAAGAAAAGAAGAGTACAAGAACTTGTTGGAACATTGCATATTGGGAGGTAAAAGACATTGCTAATATTTAATTCAAATCATTTAAGTAAAATAATTTAAATGGCATCCTTTTTTATTTACAGAGATCAACAGCTTGAAAATCGTAAAGTAAATCCCAAAGGTGAAATTTTTGCAATAGAACAGCCAAAACTTCTTAAAGATAGAACTGAGGATGATGAACGACACATGACTAGTAATGGTAAACGAAGACGTGTACAAGCTAATTGCGATGCATGTTTAGACAATCCTCATAAAAAATGCAGGGAATGTGGTTGTAGAGTCTGTGCTGGGAAAGAAGATGAACACAATCTTTTGTTATGTGATGAATGTAATTTTGCATACCATTTGCGATGTTTGAATCCTCCTTTAACATCTATACCAGAAGAAGATTATTGGTATTGTCCAGAATGTAAAAATGATGAAAATGAGATAGTGAAGGTTAATTATTACATAGTAAAATTTTCTTTCTTAATATTTTCATGATTGTATAAATGGTCATTTTTTAAAGGCAGGTGATAAATTAAAACAAACAAAGAAGAAAACTAATGAAAATAGTAACAGTAAACGAGATTGGGGTAAAGGAATGGCATGTGTAGGAAGAACAAAAGAGTGCAGTATTGTTCCACCCAATCATCGAGGGCCTATTCCAGGAGTAGAAGTTGGAATGTGTTGGATGTATAGGGTTCAGGTAATTAAGCTTATAAGTGATTATTGAGTTAATTTTTTTTTATATATTTTTATAAATCAGAGACAAATGGTAGGTATCTGAAGTTGGAGTACATAGACCACATATAGCTGGAATTCATGGAAGAGAAACAGATTGTGCATATTCTATTGTCTTATCTGGAGGTTATGAGGATGATATTGATAATGGCGACGAATTTATGTACACTGGTTCTGGAGGAAGAGATTTGTCAGGTATAACATTTATTTATAAACTATCTTTCGTGCCTAATTTATATGTTTTATTGATAAAGGGAACAAAAGGACGGCTGAACAAAGCTGTGATCAAACATTGACTAGAATGAATAAGGCATTGGCTGTAAATTGCAATGCAAAACTTAATGCAACAGATGGTGCTACAGCTGAAGATTGGAGAGGTGGTATACCTGTAAGAGTTGTAAGAAACTTTAAGCTTGCTAAACATAGTAAATATGCTCCAAAAGAAGGCAACAGGTAATACTTGTATTACAATGGACAAGTACATTTAGTATAGTAGATCTTTCACTATAATATTTAATTCTAGGTACGACGGTATATACAAGGTAGTGAAATATTATCCAGATACAGGTAAAAGTGGTTTTCGTGTATGGAGGTATTTATTAAGAAGAGATGACCCTGCTCCTGCACCTTGGACTAAAGAAGGTAAAGCACGAATAGCCGCTCTTGGTTTAAAACCAATGTATCCAGATGGATATTTAGAAGCAATGGCGAAAAATAAAACGAATAAAAAAAGAAATGTGCCGACGAAGGAAGAAAAGTCTTCTAGTTCAAAAATCGACGAACCACCGAAGAAAAAACAAAAACGCGAAGGTTATGAATTAGAAAGTGAGATTGTAAAATTTATTGACGAAGATCAAATAAATGCAAAATTGTGGGATGAATGCCGCATAACTTTAGCTGATGGTAAAGCTGCATTTCTACAGCAAGTTTCAGAGAGGTATTGTATTACTTTTTTCGTTCTGCTGATTGTTCATATTGAATTACAATTTCTAATAACTTTTAAATTGCAGATTTACATGTCCCTGTTGTTTGGAAGTCGTTTATAATCCTGTTACAACTCCATGTACGCATAATATTTGTTTGACCTGTTTAAAACGTAGTTTTTCATCAGGCGTTCATTATTGTCCATCATGTCGTTTTCTGTTGGACAAAAATTACAAGATGGATGTTAATGAGGCGTTATCATCTGCTCTGTTATTACTTTATCCTGGATATGAGGGTGGAAGATAACATTGACTTTTTATAATGTGACAATTACCTTCCAGGAATTAATTAATACACATTTAGACTGTATTACGTAATAATTTTAGGTACAATTTCTATTCCAGTAATAAAATATACTGGAATACTATAGATTTGTTATAATGTATAGATACATCTATAACAAAAATATAGAGTAGATAATATGTTATAGTAAATTTTGTTTACGAATTATACCGAAAATCAGGTTCTTTTACATATACACAATTATTAATTATTGTACTTATATTTATATCAATTTTTGACTTCTATAATTTTTAATTTGGTATTTGTAGTATATGGTTCATACATTATGGATTTAAGTATCGTTAATTATACATATATAAGCAGCTATACATAATGTGTTCAAATTTAATCGAATTATAATATTTCTAATTTATATTTTTATGACTGTATTCTTTTAAAGAAAAAAATATATAATTTTACAACCATTAAAAGTTTATGAAATAAATCATGTTAGTTTTAGACTACAATAAATATTGTAATCATAATATATTATACATAATTTCCATTGGATACATAAAAAAAAGAAACTTCTTATGGCTGATTAATATGTGGAACTACTTCGCTTATCCATTGAAGATATTTTTCATTTCCATTTTGAATCTAAAATATAGATTTGTTTTATATGCTGTATTGCATAGAAACTATATAGTAGCTTATTGAAATTATTACTTACTGGTAAAGAAATTACTTCGCACACTTCATATGGATGATTTTCCCTGTTTTTAAATAGTAGCAATTTTAGAGAATTTTTGATTCAATGACGAGTCATTTAAATTATCCATTGAAATCTATACTTACTTCACATATTTTGTGAGAGCATTAACGGTGTCAGTCCTGGTTTTTATCATCTAACAACAGAAATAAGACATTATAAATTCATATTAATTATTATAATATGAAATATGAAAAATAAATTTATAATCTTACCAGTAGTAGTTCATTATCTTCATTAATTTCATTTTTCCATTCATATCTGTAACAAATGTTATGATTCTTGTATGACTGTTTATTGTTTAATTACTGCAAGTACAATACTTACACAGATGTAAGACCTGGTATAATGTTAACACATGCTGCCAGTTTATCCTTCACTAAACCACTACAAAATATTTAATAGCATCATTAATAAGAAAAAGAATTATTATTATTGTTATTATATTGTTTCTTACTGAGCCAATTTTTTAGCAACTTCCTGCGTTGGAACCGTGACATATACAACGGAATGAACTCCTGCTAGACTATTCATGTTTCTATAAGTATTAGCGCTAACACTTCTGGCTAAACAAAAGAGTGTAATAACTCCAAAAAGTGGTTTGCACGGCGTAAACAACATTTGCTTGTATTACCCGGAATCGGCACTTTCGTTACTGCCTTGAAGATTGCTTCAGAAGATATATATACTTCGGTAGACATCTCGATTCTTGAATCGATATTTAAAATTTCGTTTAAAAGGATTAGGTTACTAAAACGTGTGACGACTTATCATAAACAAATTAATATTTTACAATGTTATTATTAGTAATTTGTCATTAAATCATATTTCAGTGCTCCGTGATGATTAGATTACATCTTATAGTTGCAAATACTTAACAATTGTAGCTTTGTGGGAGGAAAGAATACAAGCGGAATTATTTGTACATCTTGTATTTAAATATAATGATCATATACAATATGCAGATTTACATAAATTATGGAAGACACGGATTTTCGCCTTATTTCGTAAAATCACATAAACATTAAGTGTTAGTTAATGTTCTTTTGTCAGAAAAGTTCTTAACTATACTTACTATACTTTATTTAACATACGTTCATAATATCTACGTGTGGGCATGCGTCGAACATATCAAATTACGATATGTAAACGATAATTTCGATAATTTACTTATCGCAAACTTAACATGTATCAATAGTTGCAGTATCTTTAGGGGCATATCATAATCTGCGTAATATAATTTCAATTATTTACATAAAGTTTCAGAACTTGTGAGAAAATAAACAATCAAGAATCTAACCGGAAGTGAAAATAAATAGTCTTCCAAACATGATTTTCGAAAACAAGAGGAAGTTAAACAAGAATTACAATAATGAAGTTTAAGATTCTTGAAATGGATATATTTTAGAAAGCAGGTGATTTAAACCACTGAATAAGATGAATAAATAGAGGTCAGTGTCAAGAACATTTTCAAGGTCACTTATTTTTATCCAACAAGCCACAACGTAAAAGGAAACTTTTTAAAATATAACCATTCGTAATGTTTCACATCACATTTAAAAGATCTCGGTAATAAAAATTAATTATTTAAAATTTTGAAAATTAGCATCGGAACTTTAACATAACGATGTAAGTGTTTGAAAATATTTATAATACCTTTTTTTGGACGAACATCTGTAAAAAAGAGAAACTGACTGTTGATCAAATTCTTCTTCAGATTCTTTTTGAAGATTTAATTGGGCAAATAATATTCCCTTGGGATGTATTCCGGCTTTGGGCTACTCGGCTCGATTCCAAGCAATTCTCCCATGAATGCGATGTAAGTAATTGCTAGACGCAGTGTCTCGATCCTCGAGAGTCGTTTTTCATACGCGAATGTTGGAACCTGAAGACACCGGCGGAGACTCAACACGTGATTTTAACGCGTGGCGATATAAGGCGCGGTTTATTGCGTCGCATTATAAGGCATGTTATAAATAACTCTTATATTAATTATAAATTATAATTAATTGTATTAAATTATATTGATTGTAAATAACTCTTATATTAATTATAAGGGTTATATTAACTATAAGAATTATTTCTGTCAATAACTCACTTTTCTACGCAGTTTGTCAAAAGCTTCATTAAGATTAAACATTCTACGCCTCTCACGAATATTCGCGGCTCTTCTCTGTGAGACAGTCGCTACTCGACGTCTTGGTTTCTTCGTGGTGGATGATGGAAGATTGGGAGATCTACCATTAGGTGTGTACCGACTGAAATTAGTTTAAATCTTTAAAAATTTCTATTAATTAAACCTTAAAATTTATAGCGCTGATTTTTACCTTTGATGTAGTAATGCACAAGGTTGCCTGTACAGTCCATGTTCGTTTACATGAGTATGAGAAGGAGGTGGTGCCTGATATAAAACGGAACTGTCCCACATAGGATAGCTTCCTAGTTCACCGTTAACATATTGCGACATATCCGCTGTAATCACCTGTTACATTCATTCTTAATTACTACTTTTTAAAATTGGGATTGTTAGGACTATTACATAACAATGTAAGATAATTTTGAAAGGTATATGTCTGACTATATACGTCTATTTCTACTGCGTCAATGAATACGTTTGGAAAATTTATCTTATTTTATTAACGGCGGTATGCAGTACATTTATAATATTTTATCGTCACAAAATTTAGTATATCTATAATATATTATCATCACAAAATTGAGTACATCTAACAGATTATCGTCACAAAATTGAGTACATCTATAATATATTATTATCATAAAATTTAGAGTACGTATAACATTTCTCCATAATTATACATCAATAATTCTGTCTGTAATATTTTATTACGAATTCGTTTGAGCGTACAATGGCCGCCATGCGTTGCTGCGTAGATTTAATTTTTTGCAAGAGCACTTGTAATATTTTTATAACTTTTATCCTTCTTTTGTTTATTACTTAAAATTTGAACTATTCTCAATTTCATTTTCAATTTCTTTCACGAATGTCACGAATGTAATGGATATTGAAACCTTATGTAGCAACCATTTTTTGACATATGATAAACAATAATAATTAATAATGAAACTTAACATATTAAGAAGAAAAGAGATCATGTACAGAATGTACTGAAATTATTTATATTAATGAAATAAGATAGGCATATTGTTTGTGTTCTTATAAAAGCTTCCTCATGCAAATTGATCCTCTTGAAAATGCTTACTTTTATAATATTATATAGTAAAACATTATTAAAAATATTATATATTATATAATAATAAAGTATGCAAATATTTTTTCCACTAAAAGACAAATTTATATTTTCAGATACCAAAACAAAGAATCCAAAGAATTGAAACAGAATTTTAAATACAAGATTTATAAAAATTTTTGAATAATTTCTACCCACTGGTGCTTGATTTCCATTGATCTCCCACAGCGGTTCGGTGTAGCTCATATCCCGGATTCTGTCCAGCGGTGAACGTCTTCAGAGGGACACTCCGTTGTTTATTAATAAAAAAAAAAAAATAGCGAACACTGTTTGCAGAAATAGCACTTCGTCACCGACACGATGTCACCTTCGATCTGAGGGTGTCGAAGAGATTCCCGTCTAGGAAGAGGAAGCCTCTAACCCGCCCCTTTACAAAGCTACCCTTTGATTCACCATTCCGTAAACGCCTGCGTACAATCGTGGTTACTATTGGAGTAACTCACCCTGAATGTGCTTCCACGAATCACCATCATTGGATAAGGGGTTGCCAATGGGCGGAGCTTCGGAACAACCCTCATGGCTCTGTTTCCGTAAAAGTTGAAGAACGATATCGACCGTGATATTTTAAAGATGAACAAATTATTCGGAATTTTGGAAAATGTATTTTATTTAGTTGTTTTTATTTTTATTGTTGCAATATTTGTATATTGAAACACTAGTTCATTTACTAAATATTTTTATTTTTTATTCATAATTGTATTAATTCTATTATTTTGCAGGTTTAATAAAGAAGCCAAAATGATTTGAGGAGAAGGATTATTTATTTTAAGAAGGATTGACAGATCATCCACTTGTGAATACATACTGGCACGTGTATTTAATAGAGCGTAATCATCCTATCAATGTATTAAATACAGTTCAGTTATCAACATTTTGTCATAAGTAATCTGTTGAAAAGAATTTTGTTTATATTGAACAAATTAACTATTGAAGGTATACATTAACATAATCGATTTCTATCATCATTTCATCAGGTTGACAACTAATTTCATTTGAACTAATTTGCAAACGACTTTCATTTTCTTTTAAAGCTACTAGAATTCTATTGCAGAAAAATTAAATATACATTTCAAATTAATTAATTGCTAAAGTAAATGATTATTGTGAAAAGTTCTTATTTATTAAATATACCTATATAATTCTGTAAGATAAAGATAATAAATAATTCTGTAGGAACATGATAATCGTAAACGTAGCTGTCAATCTAATACAATCTCCGAGCATGATAGATACAATTTTCTATGATTTCAGATATTACGTTGGTGAAGTATCCATCTCGAGACAAATTGCTTCATAAATCGAGCTCGTAACAGGATCACACTCGAACTGTGACGAAATCTCCTCAGAAGGGTAACATATTGTTGAACCGAGGGGGTGTGTTCCCCTAAAATTAATTAAATAGATATTAGTCGATTCACTTGACGCGGACTTCCCTCTGCTAACGCGTATAAACATCGGGCACACTGCCTCCGTGTCAAATCGTATTGTGTTTGCTTCGAGAGCTGAGGGTGCATAAACTTATTAATATGCAGCCACGAGCAGTCATCCTAATAGGATCATCCCTTTTTCTTGTCATTCTTTCACGATGTTATTGCTGCCCTTTACGTGTGTTGTTATTTTATCTACGTATCTCTGTTATAGCATTAATCTTAGGGTTATTTTAACCTAAAATGTACGAAATTTATTTGTGAACAGCCTGATACCTATTTCGCTGATTTGTATCTGTTAACTGTGTTGGTGGATCTTTAATTTGAGCTTGGTAATATGCACTATATCCATAACTGCAAGCTGACGCTCTGGATCGATGCTCTGAGCGTCGGCGCTGAAATGTTTCATGGCTGAATTTCGAAGGTTTTCTGGGATGAAAGATATTTGATGTACCAAAAAATCAGAGGGAATGTCCCATACTGTAAAATATACAATTGAATCAAATTGATTGTAATATAATCAGATCTGTTAAAAGGCAGTGTTCGTCAACCACAATGTACAGAAAGTTCCATATTTTTATTATAAATATATTTATTTTTATTTTATTTTATTGAATTTTAATAAATGTATAGATAATAGAAATTAATAACTATTAACTTTATTTAGTATGTACATAGATATAGTCAATACATATAATTACAAAATAAATAATAATTAAATTATTACCATTTTATTTTTATTGTAAAAGCATAGAAAAAATAAGATTCAATGAAGGTTCAAAATTAATTTTATCCTCAGTCACAAAACAATTATTAAAGAAAATAAAAGACATTATTTTATTAGTGGTAGTAATAAATAGTATTTAAGGTAGTAATAATTGTTGATGTATTTGTAATTCTAACATTGCGTTACGTTCTAATTACAGAAGGAAAATCCGTACAATGACAAACAGGGTGACAAAAGTCGGTACATCCCTTCATGGTGCACGTGTTCGTTTGATCTAATTCTGATGTGTTTCTAACAATGGACGAATCTTCCGCAACAGTGTCACGCCACTGACAGAAATTACGCAATTTCGTCACAGGGATTTCCAGCTTTTTCAATGGTTTGTCGCTTATAGAATGGTATTGTTACGGGGTTCTCTAATATGGGACGAAAATTTACAGAAATAATTTTTGTTACAGTATATTGTAGTACATGTTACTATAATATATCTAAAATTTATTTTTAAAGTCAATTATTTAAATTTATTTCTCGAACTAATTTATTTTATTATCTACAAGTTAATATGGAATAATTTTAATATGTTTTATTGTAGTAATTATTTGAATTACGCCGCGATTACATATGGGGCACGTGATTTATCCTTTAGCCAATCACAGTCATCGATCTATTCTGGAGATCGATCGCTTTCAAATATCATTAGTGCAGTATTGGGCAGTCGTGAGATTTTATCTCACGAGAGAGCTTTATGCGCATGCGTCAGCTGACGTCACAGCTTGCTGCCAATGCCGTACCTAGCCGGTACACACAGTGGTGACTGATGAGGGGACCTTAATTATCGCTGGAATTATAATTATCCTTACTACTCTTATTATTATTAATATTATTACGCATATTACGACTACTATCATCGCTGGAACTGTAATTATTCTTACTACTCTTCTTTTTATCAATATTATTACGCATATTACGACTACTATCATCGCTGGAACTGTAATTATTCTTACTACTCTTCTTTTTATCAATATTATTACGCATATTACGACTACTATCATCGCTGGAACTGTAATTATTCTTACTACTCTTCTTTTTATCAATATTATTACGCATATTACGACTACTATCATCGCTGGAACTGTAATTATTCTTACTACTCTTCTTTTTATCAATATTATTACGCATATTACGACTACTATCATCGCTGGAACTGTAATTATTCTTACTACTCTTCTTTTTATCAATATTATTACGCATATTACGACTACTATCATCGCTGGAACTGTAATTATTCTTACTACTCTTCTTTTTATCAATATTATTACGCATATTACGACTACTATCATCGCTGGAACTGTAATTATTCTTACTACTCTTCTTTTTATCAATATTATTACGCATATTACGACTACTATCATCGCTGGAACTGTAATTATTCTTACTACTCTTCTTTTTATCAATATTATTACGCATATTACTACTTTTATCATCATTATCCTTATTATTCTTATTATTATCAATATTATTACGCATATTACTACTTTTATCATCATTATCCTTATTATTCTTATTATTATCAATATTATTACGCATATTACTACTTTTATCATCATTATCCTTATTATTCTTATTATTATCAATATTATTACGCATATTACTACTTTTATCATCATTATCCTTATTATTCTTATTATTATCAATATTATTACGCATATTACTACTTTTATCATCATTATCCTTATTATTCTTATTATTATCAATATTATTACGCATATTACTACTTTTATCATCATTATCCTTATTATTCTTATTATTATCAATATTATTACGCATATTACTACTTTTATCATCATTATCCTTATTATTCTTATTATTATCAATATTATTACGCATATTACTACTTTTATCATCATTATCCTTATTATTCTTATTATTATCAATATTATTACGCATATTACTACTTTTATCATCATTATCCTTATTATTCTTATTATTATCAATATTATTACGCATATTACTACTTTTATCATCATTATCCTTATTATTCTTATTATTATGGATATTATCACGCATATAACGACTATTATCATCGCTGGAACTGTAATTATTCTTATTTCTCTTCTTTTTATCAATATTATTACGCATATTACGACTACTATCATCGCTGGAAGTGTAATTATCCTTACTACTCCTATTATTATCAATATTATTACGCATATTACGACTACTATCATCGCTGGAAGTGTAATTATCCTTACTACTCCTATTATTATCAATATTATTACGCATATTACGACTACTATCATCGCTGGAAGTGTAATTATCCTTACTACTCCTATTATTATCAATATTATTACGCATATTACGACTACTATCATCGCTGGAAGTGTAATTATCCTTACTACTCCTATTATTATCAATATTATTACGCATATTACGACTACTATCATCGCTGGAAGTGTAATTATCCTTACTACTCCTATTATTATCAATATTATTACGCATATTACGACTACTATCATCGCTGGAAGTGTAATTATCCTTACTACTCCTATTATTATCAATATTATTACGCATATTACGACTACTATCATCGCTGGAAGTGTAATTATCCTTACTACTCCTATTATTATCAATATTATTACGCATATTACGACTACTATCATCGCTGGAAGTGTAATTATCCTTACTACTCCTATTATTATCAATATTATTACGCATATTAC